AGTGGTAGAAATGTTGAGACTAAGCCACTGAATTGACTTAACTCGCACAGATCAAATAAAAATCTCCACCACACTTTATTGTTTCCAAAGGAAATGAACGAGTAAACCCAAAAAAGAGGGGGAGAATTTAGGTACGAGGTTGGTTAGGCAAAGGGAAGATATTAGCACCCTAAACATCTATGGTACTCCGCAGGAACCTCTTTGAAAATATGTGTATTTTGGCTATAGAAGGTGTAAACAAAAATAAGATGGTGGAGATGAGAAAATAAGTATTTTTTTTTACAATTTTTGCACCCTCCGCGGTTTCTAACCTTTAGTGCCTACGTACCACCTTCCGTGCAATAGGGGATCAGAGTACTCGTAGTTGACCTCAAAAATTTTAAAACACATGTGTGTTGGTTAATTTTAAGAGAAGAGACATTATCATCGCATCCGAGTGGAAAATATACGTACTATCCACAATTATGAGAAAGGAGAATTTGAATCATCCCAAAGTGGAGGATATAGCTTTATTTTAAAATCAATAAAGCCTCACTCAACACCCAAGTGGAAAATATCTCACTTCACTATATACCGTAGAAGTATAGCAGCTTGCGTCACTTACAAGAATCGACAAGAGTCTAATATTTTGAGAAAAGTTTTAAAGTAAAAATCCAAAGTGGAAAAATGGTTTGAATTTGGTTACTTGACTTTTATTCTTCTAAATAAGATGTCAAAGTATGGTTGAATTTATTAAAGTTTGCTTAAGAAAAGATTTTTGAAAATGCATGGATCTAAGTCCAAGTTCATTATGAAATCAGTTCAAGTTAGAAAATAATAAGAGTTTTGAAAAGGAGGGAAATGATTTTTGAAGTAAATGAAGATAAGAGGAGATGAATGGACTATCCTAAAGCATAAGGTAAAAGCAAAAGAAAAGAACGATCTAACCAACAAGAAGCCAACACTTGACATGAGAAGTCAATGTAGAACTCCCATTCTTTGGATTGAAACCAAGCAAGAAAAAAAATACTAAACCTCTGAAGAACACCAAGTTTAGATGAATTAAGTCTTCACAAAAATTGGGCAGAGTAACGGTTGTATACAGAGGAACTCTTAATCTCAAACAAATAATAGAATCAGAATAACCCGCACATAAAGAACATCAACTCAATTCCTTGGAGTAAACCCCAAGAACTTCAGACAAAATATCAACAGAGAAACAAGGTCCCTAAGTATCAAGGCTTATAATCCTAAGTCCGAGAAATCCACAACTCCACAATGCTAAGGTTAGTAACCAGATAGTCCAAGTAACCTTAAAGTTTTTTAATGTCCAAGTTTATTATTAAGTGTCTTCAAAAGAAAAGAAAAGCTCAAATGAGCAAAGATAAAATGACATAAAAATAAATGCTCAAGTTAACAAAAGGAAAATGACATGAAAAATAAATGCTCAAGTGAGAAAAAAGAAAATAGCATGAGATGTAAATGCTAAAATAAATGGTACATAAAAGTAAAGGCACAAAGTAAAGGCATAAAGTAAAATTAATTGTTAGTGAATTAGAAGTCAGAAGTCAAGTACAAAAGGTTAGTTGAATGTCCATCTTGAAGCTTTCTTTTGAAAACTCATTAGAAGATTGATAAAATCAAAGCCTATCAACAATAAGTTTCATTAGCTTTTTGTCAAGTATATCATTCATTTCAAGTGCTCAAGGCAATCACGTATGATCAACGATGTTCAAATGATTCACTTAGACCAAAATTAATGAAGTTCATTAGAGGATTGGTAGAATTAAAGCCTCCTAACAATAAACTTCAAAGTTATTGGTTCTAAGGTGTTATACCCTAATTTCCCCCCTAAGATTTCTCATCATCTTACTTTTATCAATACATCAAGATCACACATTAGGGTTGATTCTCTCTTTCTAATTTATCCTATCTTTAAGTTTGCTCTTGAGGGATCAAAAAGCATCTTGAAATGTGTATCTTGTACATGTTTTCTATTAAGTAACATCAATATGTGTATATATGTTTCTTTGAATGTTCATATTATAGGTGATCACAATTGTGTTCATCTTATCATCTAACCTAGGGTTTGGAAGGATGGTTCCCAGGTAAATGTATCTTCAATGGATGGAAAGAGCTCAAGTTTCAAGGCCATGTTTATGATGTCAAATATTTGTGGTTCAAGAAGTTCCCTCACTTCATTTAGGTCAATATCTCCTCAAAGTTGGTGGTGGCATTTATCAAGAAGATTCGTAGGTTCATGTGTTTATTTCCATGTCTTCTTTAAAAAACTTCATTTATACTTAAACTCCATCTTATAGTGTGCTTCAAGACAATAATATTTCAAGGCCTCTTATGATTAATCATGCTTTATTTTGCCAAGAAAGTTCAAAGAGATTCAAGGTTGGCTCAACAAGTTTGACCTAATTGAGCAAATGCTTGATTCAGTGATCACAAGTGCATACCTCTCTCAATTATCAACATTTTGAGTTGGTTATTTTTGTTATGGATTGTGATGATCATCAAAAATAACCTCTCTTCACATGAAAATATCCAATTGTGTAAGAAAAATCATTAAAAGTTTAAAGGGGTTTCAAGTCATTTTGACACTCTTTGAGCTAGGGTTTGTTGACTTCTAAGGACCATATCTTGCTCATTTTTTGAGATTTTTGATTGATTCCAAATACATGATTCTCTTTAAAGGGTCCTTAACAAGCTCTCTTCAGAAATCTAAGGCTAATTTTGAATGGAAGATCACTAATGGTTGAGAAAGATTACAAGTCTCATTGAAAGGCCTTTGAATTTTAGGGTTTGACTTCAAATTATCATAAATAGGTCAATTTTTATCTCCTTGATCCCAAGCCTTTTCCATAATAATATTTGGGGTGTCTGCTAAAACTTTGTTTTTATGTGCAAGACTTGAAGATGTTTGGAAAGTGGTTGAAGATTTGAAAAGATTATAGGTCTTATGTGAATTTCCCCAATTTTGTTCATCATCTTCCAATGACCATAACTCTCTCAATTTTTATGATTTTTGAGTGATATCAATTCCACACTTCAATTCAAGAGGTCTACTTCTTGTCATCTTCAGATATCAAAATTAGATTTTGAGTGGAAGGTCATGTATATTTGAAGAATATTATAGGCCATTTTGAAGTTCAACACTTAGAATTTTTCTATCTACAAAAGATCTGTGTGTTTTTTACAAATTCCACTGGCCATAACTTTTAGCTCAATTATCCAAATGGAGCCTTTCTTGGCACATTGTAAAGATTGTGACATTGTCTTACAAATGCTTCAAAAATTATGCTTTAAAGCCTCTTGAGCTGTGTGCACCATGGATTCAAAGTTGCTACCTTGGAGCTAAAGATTCATTTACAGTCAGATTGCAAATTGATTAGTGTGACCTCTAAACATAATTTTGTCACACTTTTGATGTTTAAACATGACTAACTAAGTTACTTGAAAGGTTTAGCACATCAAAACACGAGGAATGGCTGAGTTTTGATAACTTGCAAGTCACACTTTACTCATGATGCTGGTGTGTACGATTTCAACTCAAATTACATCATCCATCCCTCCTCTTGATTCCATTCACTTCCCTATAAATAGAGGATAATATCCCACTTATTGGAATATCTTTAGAGAGCCAAATAACCTCTGTTGAACTCCCTCCATACCTCTCAATTCTGCAACATCGAATTTGGTTTTAAGGCTTCTTTCAATCCAATTTCTTTGTTGATTCTTCATCCTTAAACTTCACTGAAGCTAACAAAAGAAGAACCAAGTCTTGAAGTGTCCTAAATCGTGCTAGCCAAGTCAAGTTTCAGAGCTCTAGAGTTGAGCTTCAACAGGTAGATTCCTCCATCAATTCTCTCCAAATTTTTTGCTACAATGTAGCTCTCATCACTATGATACTGTAGCGATAAAAAATGTATCAGTGTAAATTGAAGATCGAGCTATTAATTAACTCGACTCGCAAAAGAAAGAGTTTCCACCACACTTTATTATTTCCAAGGGAAAAGGGAAAAGAGAGAAATAAAACATTTAAATATGCAATGTAAAGTAATACTTAAAAAAGTAATGAAAATACAATGCATTTTTGAAAGAGATTGAAGGTTCAGGGGTTGGTTATACAAAGGGAAGGTACTAGCACCCAATGCATCTGCGGTACTCCGCAAGCACCTTTTGAAATATCTATTTTTTTGGTTAAAATTGTTTGTTTGGTTAAAATGGTTTGTTTGGTCAAAATGGGTGTGAATGAGATTTTGAAGATATGACGACCTAGTGTCGAATTCTTGACTTAAAAGGTGTGAGTTTTAAAATTGATTCTTTTAAGAAAATTAACTTAAGATTAAAAAAATAGTAAAAAAAAAATGAATGAAGTGATTCGCAAAATCGTATAAGATGTATTTGATGACATGAAGTCAACAAAGTTAAAACATTTCCCTTAGAATTGAGACGGATGGAAGATATAAAGATTAAACGATCGAGAATAAAGTTAATTAGAGCGACAATTGAATAATAAAAAAAATTAAATAAGAGATTAATTTATAAGCATGTATTTTTAAACAATTAAATAACAAAAAATTAATTAAAGACTAAATTATAATAGCATGTATTTTTTTGTATTTTTATAATAGCAAGAAATAATTGTATATATAGAATAAACTAAAAAATGAAATAAAATGCCTTGGCAAGGTGTTGAACTCGGGTCTCTTAGATTGTAACAGACATGCCTTGCCATTGAACTATGTTTGTTTATCTGTTATAACTATGTTTTAATTAAAATATAAGGTGATGATGGTAATGGGGTTGGGCCAAAAGGCCCATTGGGGCTGACCCGGTTTAGAAGAGAACAAGGAAAAAATTTTGGAACCCTAAAGCAAAGAAAAGTGTCATTGCTTCTGTCTTGGGAAGGGAAATATCACAGATCAAATCATTTCCAATAAACTCTTATCTCTATGTTTAACCTGAAACAAAATTAAATAAAACTCTCTCTCTCTCTCTCTGAATCACATTCATTCATCACTCTTCATAATCTCTCTCTGGTTTTCACAACGAACTTCCTCCTCTTCCTCAAGTGTGAAGTCATTCTTAATGTTGAAGGTCCTGCGGATCTCTTCAGGTGTCTTTCCTTTGATCATATCTGCTACAGTCTGGCATGCTAGATCAAGCAGGTTCTTGATGTTTAAGTAGTTAACAACCAATATAGGGTCAAACAGGGTAACCTGATCAACCTTAACAAACTCCACATCCCAAGCTTTAAGTTCATCCTCACTAGGCTTATCAGTAGCCACAACATCAATATGCTTCTTACAAAACTCAATCACCTTCGCCAAAAATACTTGCTGGTGTCATGGATGGTTCTTCTCCGCAATAATCCAACTCATTATGAATGTAATTAATAACATCAACTTCCCCAACCCTTGACCCTCCTTCTTATTATTTCCAAATCCACCGATAAAGTTTTCAAGGGCGTTACATTCACCGACATGGAAGGAGAGTTTCTGTTGATTCATGGCGCGAGTGTAGAGTTGTGAGATAGAATTTGCGGTGCTACAGAAGGAAACATACATGGTTAGATCCACTTCGTCGAGACTTGTGGCGGCGGACTTTCGCTTTTTTCACATAGTTAACGGAGGAAATCGGCGGATATTGGAGGGTTGTTGGGTTAGGTCAGTGGCGAGGAGAATTATGTTGTTTATTGGAACGATTGAAGGAGAGAAGTAGATGGATTTTGTTGTTACTGTTATGCATTCTAGACAAAGGATAATATTAGAACCGAGAAAAAGAAATCGAAAGCAGAAGAATTTCGTTGTTGAAGCCGTAGAAACAGAGGAATGAATTTAGCGTAAAAGGAAAAAAAACAAAATAGAGAGATAGAAGTGTTGTTGTTGCAGCAACTGCAATTTATGGAAAAACTGTAGCTGCAATTGTTGGTCGGAGGTGTTTTGGTAGATCTGAAAAAAACATAGATATTGACGAGGGAGGGTAATGGAAGTGAAGTAAAGGTGGTTAGGAGGGTATTGTTTTGTGTTTTGGAGAATGTTGTATAATTTCTCTAATTTTTTGTAGTTTCTATTATTTACTTCTAGTTTTATCTTTTTATGTCATTGTAGGTGGATGTTAGAAGATGGAGGATCTATGTTGTTTTGCCGGTATAGTCAAAGCTACATGAGCAGTAGGTGGAGTTGATTCTGGCAGTGAAGTGTTTCGCCGTCGGGAAGAATGGTGAGCTATTTGTTTTGGTGTGATTTTTGTTTCGTTTTGTAGTGAAAGAAAGATAGGATTAAAGAATAGAAAGTGTAAAGTGAATGTGTTTGGAGTATCTTTTTTATCTCTGAATTTTTATGTCATTTATTATACATTTCCGTACGGGTTTATCACTATTATTATTATTATTATTATTATTATTATTATTATTTTTGATGTGTCTTGAAAATTGATTGAGAACCTTTGAATGATGTTGAACTTTTTCAATTTGAAATCAATATACTTGAATTTGGAGTTTTGAACTTTGAATCATGAAGTGGATTATAGAATTTGATTTCACTTTAAATATTACGAACATGATCTCTTGATTTTAAATCTTCAAAGTTATCTTTGGATAAAAGACTTGAAAAATTGATGAACATCTTAATTTCCAAGTAGCATGTGGAATTGGTGTGCTTGATGTTTTAATTTGACCTTTGACTTGGAACTTACAAACTCATGAAAGCAATAATTTCCTTCCATATTTTGAATTATGAATGAACTTGAATCCATGGATTTGACATGATATCTTGAAAAATAATCATGGTTCCTGACTTGAATAATCACAAGGATAAGATTTGAAGAAATTATAGCATCATGAATCATAATTCAAAGTGGTCAAGAAACTTCTAATTCCAGAAAATGTCCTAAAAAGTTTCGATAAATTCCATATCATTCTAAACACAAATTTGCTCTTGACCTCCTGAATTTGAACTTGTAAACGTTGACCTTTTGGTAAATGTGCTTTGAATCAACTTACGAACTTGATCCTCCCTCACATTCCTGTTAGAACATAGTTTGATTCTATAACCCTCGTAAGAGTTTTGATGATAACAAACACAAAGAACAAATATGCATTCTAAATTTGTGTTCTATTTTGTACAGAAGTTCTAACGGAATTGGATCATAAGTTAAGCTACAAAGGTATTCAAGTTGAGTACGCAGACTGATATCAGAATGTTCTGAAGAATGAAGATCTGAATTTGCGCTAAAGAGAAAGACATCTTAATTTTGAACGGAATTCTAACGTGCAAACAGAACCTTATGATTCTGACTTCCAAAGTTCTGAAGCAAAGCAGCAAGCAAGTTCTTTATCTTCTGAAGCGTTACTTTTCCATCAAAGCAGTATCAATTACAACGGCTACAATCAAACAAGGATCTTATTATTATGGAAAGTTCATTTACTTCCAATAATCATGTTTCCATTTGCACAGATTGCCACGCCTATTTAAACAAGCACCAAGGATAAATTGTTCACGATTTACACAACTGCTTCATACAATCTCTCAACACTGCAAAATTATATTCATACTATTCTCTAAAATTGCGTAATACATCACAAGTTTGTGATACAACTTTTGTAACGAAAAACAACTAGTACACATATTATTTCTTCTTTTGATTAGTGAATTTCCTTGAGATAAACCGGGTTGTGGTTGTACTCAAGAAGACTTTGGCAGTTGTCAAAGAAGAATTATAATCAGTTTGATTAGTGAATTAAGTCCTCGTTGGAGAGAGGCGAAATCACCTTGGCGGGTGGACTGTATTAGTTTGAGATCAAGCGAACCAAGATAAAAATCATCGTGTTAATTGCTTTTGATTTTTAAGTTTCAGTTTAACTCCCCCTTCTTGTGTTTTTCACTTCTTCAATTAGCATCAGAGCGCCTGGTTCAGAGTTTATACACTTAATCATGTCAGTACAATATCCAAGCTTAAGAAAAACACTATGATGGGACCAAGTCAGAACATCAGTAATGACTATCATGATGATAAGGATAGAATCAACGGCAAACCTCCAGTCTTTGATGGAGAAAACTTTTACTACTGGAAAGACAGAATTGAGAGCTTCTTTCTAGCTCATGATGTTGATTTATGGGATATGGTAATTGATAGATACATGCATCCTGTGGATGAAAGTGGTCAAAAGATCGATAGAAAGAGAATGTCTGACCAGCAAAAGTGTGATTTTAGAAACCATCACAAGGCGAGAATGATTCTTCTTAGTGCCATCTCATATTCAGAGTACAAGAAGATCTCAAACAGAGAGACAACTAAAAACTTGTTTGACTCTCTGAGAATGAAGCATGAAGGAAACATATAAGTTAAAGAAACCAAGGCCCTTGTGCTCATTCATAAATACGAAGCCTTCAAGATGGAAGAAAGTGAATCCGTTGAAGCAATGTTCTCAAGATTCCAGATTCTAGTTGTTGGGCTGAGAGTTCTTGACAAAGGGTATTCTATTAATGATCATGTAAAGAATATCATCAGAAGTTTACCTAAGCAATGAAGGCCAATGGTCACTGCTCTCAAGTTGGAAAAAGATCTCAACAAGATATCTCTAGAGGAACTTGTCAACTTACTCAGAAGTCATGAGATAGAGCTAGAAGATAACGAGCCTCACAAGCAAGGTAAGCCCTTAGAGTTAAAATCTAACAAAAAATTTGATTCTAAAGTTTTGAAGACTATGGAAGAAACCTCTGATGGATCCTCATCAGAAGAAGACAAATTGTCTCTTCTCTCCAGAAGAGTCAATCAGTTGTGGAAGCAAAGGCAAAGAAAATTCAGAAACTCCAGAAGATTAGGGAATTAGTCTGAATCCTCCTATGGATATAGAAAGTCTGAACCCTCCTCTGGACACAGAAAGTATGAATCTGCTTATGGTCAGAGAAAGTCAAACAACAGGGACATCGTCTTCTATGAGTGCAATTAACAAGGGAACTACAAAAGCGATTGTCCAAGGCTTGAGAAGGAGAAACCCAAAAAGAAGTTCTTCAAGGAGAAGAAGAAAATTCTCATGGGAACATGGGATGATTCAGATACATCTAACGCAGACACAGAGTCAGATGATGAAAGAGCCAACATTTCTCTTATGGAAAATGTGACAGAAGATAACGAAGCATCTAGGTCAGACTCAGAATCAGACACAAAAGAGGTATTTCCTGATTTTACTGTTAATTTTACTAAAGTTGAACTAGGAGAAAGTCTGAGTGAAATTCTGGAAAGATATCAGCAGCTTCGAGTCAAATTCAAGAACCTGAAAAAGGATCTTGTTTGACTCTGAAGAAACTGAGATTCTGAGATTAGAAAATTCAGAGTTAAAAGAAAAGATTTCAAAACTAGAAAATGATTTACAAAACTCTCAGAAGGAAATAATCTTAGAGTCTCCCAGTAATGCTGATAAGATCATAAAAGAATATGATAATAGCTTTCAGAAGTTTTTGGCTAAAAACATAGATAGAAGCAAGATGGCTTCAATGATATATGGAGTTAGCAGAAATGGAAGAAAAGGTATAGGATACCAAGGTAAAGTATCCTCACCTGTTGTACCCTAATTTTCCCCCCTAAGATCCTTTCATCATACCATGTTTATTCATTAACAATAAGATCACACTAGGATTCTTGGTTCCCCTCCCTATATGTAGCTTTGCCCTTTTGAGGAATCACCAAGCACCTTGACTTATGTTCTTTTATGATCATGAATATTGTTTTTGTCTTGATTTCTTCTTTCAACTAAATAAAATTCAATGTTGGTTTGTCTTGCTTGTTATCCATGTAGGTAAAGGCAATGGGATTTAACAAGTTACCCCATGGGTTCATGAGTTTATTTCCATGCCCTAGTCAATAAAGCTTGAGAAGTTAAAACCTCACCATTGGCTTGGTTTTGGAAGAATTGGCATGGAAAGGTTGTTTTGGTTCATCACATTTCAAAGTTATCAAATTTGGTTGAAAAGCACAAGTGATTGATTGGAGATGTTGTCATGGTTGGACAAGATTTTATTTCATTTGGTCACAAGTGCATATTTATCTCAATGTTCAAGATATGGAAGTGGTTTTAGTGGTTATGAGTTCTCATTATCATCCTCAACAACTTATATTTACAAATAATGTGTGTTGGTACAAGAAGTTTGTTAAAAATTGTCAAAGTTCCTCAAAGCATTCTCTTGATCTAAGGAACTAGGGTTTTGAACTTCAAAGGAATATATCTTGCTCATCTATTGGTATTTTTGAGTGATTCCAAATACATCTTTCTCTTCAAAGGGTTATTACAAATCACTTAAAAAGTTTCAAGGAGTTGTCATGAGGAAGAGACTCAATGAGGAAGAAAGATTACAAGTCCTCTAGATGAATCCTCAATTTTCCATGTGTGACTTCAAATGATCATAACTTGGTCAATTTTTATCACCTTGAGCCCATTCCTTTTCCATAATTATCTTGATGGTGTGAAATTTATGCCTTCTTTTATGTGCAAAGTGAGAAAATGGATGGAAGTTGCCTTAAGGATGCAAAAGATTATAGGTCATTTCATGATTTTTTGCCAAATTCA